TGGAGATTGCAGCTCCTCCTGAAGTTCATAACCATCCAGACCAGAAAATGTTTGACCTAAACTTAGGTTTGCTTCCTCGATTGTTGCTTCAGACACTGGGACATTACTTTCTGTCAAAGTATCATTAAACTGCTCTCGCTCAAATGTCGTTTTTCCATTGAAGTCGATAGTATTCTTGGGCACCACTGGTGTCATATAACTTTCAGAATCTTCAGAGAGATCACTCAGAGCAAGTTTCTGAGACACTCCCTCAAACCCTAACCTCTCCACAACCTTCAGAGCTCTTCTCTGTTCATCCGTGAGCCTGTTCTCAGGTGGATCCCCAGGAATGGGAGGAAGGGGCTCACCTGGACCATCCAACTGATCCAGTGCTGACCTCTGTCTACTCCTACGGCGACGTTCAGGAGCCTCTGGGGATGTGTCTTCCAAGTAAGGTGGAATAGGAGGAGGAGCTGCCCCATCTCCTTCCTCACCAGCATCTTCTGATACCTCCTGAATTGTGTCAGGGGTCTGCCGTTTAGTGCTCCCTTTTTTGCTGTGAGATCCTGGTCCATCAACAATATCCTGACCATCATGACTTTCCTCTCTGCTGCCTTTCCTACTGCATCTTCGTCCACCAAAATCAAGAGAACGTTTTGCTCGTGATCCACTAGTTGTGCTCTCTTCATCATGACTGGTAACATCTGTGAGCTCATCGCTACTATAACTGACCTCACTCAGTGATTCTTTCTATCAGTTAGAGAAAAAGAATACAGGAAAACTAATTTTCTTCAGACTCAACATCTATATGCATATACATGCATGTACTTTAACATTTTAAACCCAGCAAGTGACCTGCATCTAATTTCTCCTTACATTAACACTGCAGAATCATTCAATAAGATCATGAGAATAAAGGAAAAGATCAGGAACAAAGAGCTTTGATTGCTTTACCCTCTAACTCCCAAGATCTAATTGTTTATACTCCCCTCTCACTACTACACATTTCCTTGTAAATATAGTACAAGGTTTTGGTGTTAGATCAAGGTAACAAATTCTACAGGATAAGTCTGAGTATTTTGATTACCTGTTTGCTGGATAATGTTTGAATACTATAGAGAGAAGTTACATGTAAATCACTTCTGAGAGTTTTAGGGTTAAACAATTTTCTCCTTGTCAGTACCAAAGGAAAGAGTATGGATACTGATAACAGGATGTAAAGGAGTGATAAATAGTTTTCCTGTAAGAAAACCTGAAAGCCTCAAGAAAATTTCAAATTTGCACATTTTGCAAGTTAAAAAAAAAGTGCATTTTGGAATGTGGTGTTTTATTAACTAGAGATAGTTAACGATGACTACAAAAGAACCTTTGATCAGTTTGTGCTTTGTTACAAGACAACTCAGTGCAGTATTCGAGTCACCTTTGCTGTATTTGTTGCATTGAGCATAAAAATTATAGCAGCAAGTGGGTTTATACCGGCATGTGACGTCATCGCAAAGTTATGAAAAATTCAAAACATTATGCTGCTTGCTGTTAAAACCTACTATATTTTGAATGTATCATACAAGAAAATTTAATACTCATCAGGATCGACTCCATCTCGTACCTCTTCTTTGTCTCCATCAACAGATTGTTTTGCTGCACTTTTTTTCCTCTTGTCAACTCTCGAATATACAGGCTGAACGACCTGACCGCTGTCATGATCTAAAACATGGTAGAAATGTTGCGATGGTTCCCCACCGTTTTCGGCTGTTGCTCCTTCCATCTCCTCAGTTACAGCCAATGTACCTTCCTTAGTCATCTTGTGGTATTTTGTAGTCTTGTCAAACTTTTTGCTGCCATGAACGGTTTCATAGTCGTCCTCCCAATCTTCCCTAACCTTTTCGTCACGATCATGTTCGTTGCCCTGTCGATCAGCTGATGCGCTGCGTTCATCGCCGTTTTCTCCTGGAACTGAAGGTAACTCCGCCCGCGGTCGTTTCGAAAGATCACCAATTAAAACCCTACCGACGTTTCCTGCTTCGCCTATTGCCTGCTCGAGTGGAGATGGCGATCGACGAGGCCATGTTTGCGATAAACTGGATGATGTTCTCGGTACTGCTGCAAAAATGGCGCTTGGCACAAGAGTAGAGGCGATACGACTCTAAGATCCACAAAAATAAAATCAACCTTTCATAATTATATTCATCTCAGAAGGAAACACAAAAATTTTCGCTTACCAGTCCAGACTGGCTGCCTTTAGATTTTTTAGACTTCGTCTTTTTCTGCTTCTTACTACCCGGCGCCATTTTGAAATTCCAGAATATTTATGGCACCTATGCGCTTGCGCCAGCGTCGTTAGTTCAAATCAGTTGTCATGGAAACGCCATTGAAATCCTAAAGCAATAGTTGAGAGCTTGCTTCATAGCCTATATGGCTGGCGATTTTAAGCACCGTTTATGGTTTTTTGTGTGCCAAACGATGAGTGGCAAAATTGCGAGTCAAAAATAAATTATGAATAACCCGTCTCTCTTCCGTTCAAAGCCTCGCACGGCTTCAGTTGCTCCCTGAAAATGCTTGCAGAAGTCCGAAGGGTATATTTTCGCCTTTAGGAAATTTAACACCTCTCCGAAAATCGGCCGTGAATTTTATGGTGAGATATTCATTGTTCATTTTCATAATAATCTCTTTCTTTCTAGCGTCTGGATGTACATAATGTCTAATCAATTATCTAAACGAGTGGGACGGTATCTCTTCCATGACTCTATCATGGAATGTTTTACGTGTTCCACATGTAATTTTCCGTGTCCAAATTTAATAAACTAGAGATTGTAAGTACAGGCTGGTGTCATCAAAGAAAACAAGAAATGCGTCTGGCGAATATTTTCCCTGCCATAATGATCGATGGACACGATAATGATAGTACCTTTTGAGTCATTGATGAAACTGATTGTGGGAACTACAGTTTGGTTTCTTTGCTTAGCGTACCAAGCAAGATTATACAATCTGAAGTCAATGATAACAGTATGCGACACACATTCAAAGAGAGCAGCCTAGTTTCAGATAGACAATGGTCATACCTTGCCCTCGACTTGGGAGAGGTACTTTCGAAAAGCATTTGACAGTGTTTCCCACGATATATTGAAAATGAAACTGAAACGTGACTTTGGCATTATAGGCACGCTCCTTGATTGGATTAGGAGTCATCTAAATGGAAGACAGCAATTTACTGCGATGAATGGACCAACTGAGTCAAATCTGCCACCTGTGTCTTTTGGCATTCCTCGGGGATCGGTGCTAAGACCGATTCTTTTCACACTAATCACAAACGACCTTCCATCCTCTGTCAGCTCAGGATAACTGTGTATGTATGCAGACGATACTACGGTCTACTGTATAAGAGTAACTGCACACACAGCTATTACGCGGTTAAATGCAGCGTTGCAAGAATTACATGTATGGTGCCTTAGCAACCGTTTAACACCTCAACCAGGCAAGAGTCAGGTTTGTTACTCATTAAAGGAACCCCGATGGAACCGATAGCTTCTGTGCTATTAGGAACCTCAATTCTTACGTGGGTTACGAATGCACACTTGCTGGGCTTGGCAGTTGACAAGAAACTCAGCTGGGTACCGCACGTACAAGAAAACGAAAAAGAGCTTTGCTAACAAACTGAACTCGCTAAAACGATCCAGATTTCTCCCATGGGATGTATGGAAATAATTTTTGTAAAGTAATTTTGACCTCTGTTGATGTGGTTTAGTTCTGTGGGGATCTTGTAGTAATTCTGATATATTTGGTTCAATAGAAAGACTACACTACAGGGCAGCAAGAATTATATTTGATCTACCTAAAGCTGATGATATTATCCGACGTGAGTAGATATGACTAGTGGCCTACACTTTCTTTGTATTACAAATTAGACATCTTCAAGTTTTTTCTACAAAGGCTATAACTATAATGCCAGTCTCCCCGACTCACTGTCTGAAAACATTCTTAAATGTTGCTCAAATGGTTACTCCCTGAGGGGACGCGACCTTTTAACAGTACCCAGGTTCCAAACAAGATATATGAAAGACTCGCTTAAATATCGCGGCGCTGTGTTATGGTACACTGTTTCCTATTGTGAACAAGAAGTTGGACGTTCGAGTCTCAATAACATGAAAAAGGCCTACTCACCAGAGACTACTTTGAGGAACTCAAATTTTACATACTTTCCGCTTCTACTACTCGCCTTGTATCGACTTATACATACCGATTTTGCTTTTACTTAGAAGTTGTAATATACGTAATTTTCTATTATCAAATTCAAGTTATATTTACATAACGTGTAAGTTTCCTTTTTTCTTCACACGACCCCAAAAGCTCGTAGCATAAAATGCTATCGTGTATATATAAAGGTCATCTATCTATCTATTTATCTATCTGTCTGTCTGTCTGTCTGTCTATCTATCTATTTGTATATCTATCTATCTGTCTCTGTCTCTGTCTAACTATCTATCTGTCTGTCTGTCTGTCCATCTATCTATATATCTATCTGTCTGTCTGTCTATCTGTCTATCTGTCTATCTGTCTATCTGTCTATCTGTCTATCTATCTATCTGTCTGCCTGTCTATCTATCTATCTATTTGTATGTCTATCTGTCTATCTGTCTATCTATCTATCTATCTATCTATCTATCTGTCTGTCTGTCTGTCTGTCTGTCTGTCTATCTATCTATCTATCTATCTATCTATTTATCTATCTGTCTGTCTATCTATCTATTTATTTATCTATCTGTCTATCTATCTGAGATACCGTTCAGTTTTGTCATTTTGCCAAAAGAAGTCAGAATTATTATATTTGCTCCCTCTGGTCATTGCGTTCTTGAACCAGACCCCAGTTTGAATTCTTCTGGGAATCTCTCCAATTTTTACTGTGATATATTCTTGATGGTATAGTAGCATAACCCGTTGACAGTCCTTTAATTAATTAATGGTAATGGATGGTCAGGACTCTTATTTACGCGTCGTGAGGATCAAAAGTAGTTTTGTCATTACTGAATTTTGATCTTCCAACAGTTCTTTCTTTTTTAATTGCGAATCTATATGGTTTTCCTGTGGTGTACTTGTTTTAGGCCATTGGTATTTCTTTTTATAAAATAATTCAAATAGTACGCGCGCTC